GTTCGCATGCACTGATCGAAAATTGCTTTCCGTGGTTGTCGGCTTATCCACCATGCAAACAGGTTCCCCTGAAGTGTGCGAGTGTGAAACATCATGACTCGAACAAATCTTGGCAAGAAGCAAGCATCTGCGCAACGCGATCTGCATGGTCTCAGGCACCAATAAGTGTGCGATATCCGAAAGAATAGCGGTCGGCGAAGCCCCGGCTTGCGTAAAAGTGCGCGGGAGGCAGGATCCATGGTCGGCAACAGCACGCGGTCGCGAAAGTAAGCGGCGCGTGTCCGTGTCACGTGGTCTTGCCATCCACGGAGCCAATCCCCTAATCCCCGGTTTAGCAAAAAGCCTTGGCTTCGTGGTTGTCGAGTAGCTGTGCCCAAGGGTGACATGCCGACTAACTTTCCGCGAGCAGCAAGGTGCGAGCATCGTTCCGCGACACTACTAGCCGCGAAACGCGGGCGGCAGGCGCGGATGACAAGCAGGGCTGGTGCGCGCCGCAGAATAGAGTCCCTACCCGCCTCTGACGGCGGGTGCGCATCGGAGTTCAGGGAATTCGCTGAGCAAACGCTTCTCCTCCAGCAGGCGCTCGTCGTGCACGCCTGGATGAACGCCGGATGCCCGATGGGCACGCCGAGAACCAGGAAGCCACGTTCGCGCGGCGACTTGTCGCCACGCCAGACATCCGGACCGAAGTCGGCCACCTCGAGCGGCGCTTGCACATTCGACCAACCAAACATCCGTGTTTGCCGTGGTTGACACCTACGCCAGCCACGTCCTTTGCGATCCGCGCGCGGGGCAGGTAAGGACGTACAGGTCGTCTAGGAATGCGGAAACTTTTCGTCCGCTTGGAGGCGAACTTGTGCTGCGAGCAGCGCTGCAGCGCCGGGGCGAGGGGATCCCATTGTTCGCAGCCTTCCCCATGATGCAATTTTTTCCGCCGAACCCATAATTTATTGCTGTGCGCCCGTAGAAAGGGCGGACGTAGAGGACGACATCTTGCACAGCCGACGTCGATGTGGCCCCCGCAGCTTATGCAGCATCCTGGGCTGCGTCACAGGCGCTGCTAATGCTGCTAACAGCAGGCGTACATCTCGTCCGCACATCGCATTCCTCGATCGAAAGCGCTGCTCAACCCGTACGCATGCAGGGCTACGACGCTGAACGTCTTCCGCGAAATGGGCAACTTTTCTCGGTGACAGGAATGTCGATCTTCTTCATGCTAGCTCTAGCATCACGGGCCACCCGCACGCTCGTTGCTTCGGCGGGCGCGCAGCAGCGGCGGGCCGAGTCATTGTGATATGCATCTGATGCACGCGTGCCATTGGCGCATACTGGCGCCTGGAAGTCGCCGAAGTTGTCGTGAACGGCTTGTTCGCGGCATGGTTCCAAGCAAGCTTTCGATGCCCACATCGTCACATGGCCACCCACCGGGTTCAGGTGCACACCGGTCGGGCTTTGGAAGGAGCCGCTGAAAACAAGCGCCATCACACCTACCCCGCACCCGTTCGAGTTCATACCCGCGCCGTTGTTGTTGGGGGCCGGTTTGGTGCGAGGTTGCCAACCAATTCCGGACGCTGGCCGGGGACCGTGCCTAAGGAGGTGCAATGCTCGTCTGTGGTCGAGGTTGTTTGCTGGCGCTGCGCTTGAGCCCTCAGGCGGCCAAGGACCAGGGAAAATACGTGGTTCTTCGGTCCACTGTTTTCTCGAATGATGTGAATGACCCGCGCCGGAAACAGGTGCGTGAAAGTTCGGGTTTGCCGTGAGGCTGGAACTACGGGTGCCAATCCTCCTCTTTGTCCGAGACGTGATCTCGAGGCCAAAAGACACTTTCAGCGTGGCACAAAGGATATCGGCAAGAGCTTGCCGTTGTGGGGTGGCTCACAGCTTGCTGTTGACACAACGTTGGTATCGCACGTTCATCTGCTGCACTGATCCAATAAGCGGGGCGACGCCACGTCCAAGAATTCAGACCCATGTATGAAGGACGGGCGGAAACACATATGAGCTGCTTTGAAATAATTTGTGCACGAGACTCGATTCTCGGCTGCCACTTGGGTATCTCTGCCTTGCGACACATGCAGGTCGGTGCTTCTGCCCGCCCGCATTTGACAATCCCACCTGCGCCTCGCCATGCCTCGCTATTGCATGCTATTCCGCGTGGCCGGGACGTTACCGAGCGCTTGATCCGATGCGTTTGCTGCGGGGTCGTTTGCGTTGGATAGCCCCGTCCTACAGGGAGCAAGCATCGACAGACCTACCAGGCCTGGGCAGGGGCGCGATTGCTGTTGTTGCGGGATCTTAGGCGTGGCATGACATTCGTCTATATTATGCTACGGGCTGCGAGCGGCTCTGGCAGCGAATTGGAGAACCACATTTTTTCTGCGCTCACTTCGCCTGTTGCACATGTGTGTGCCAGGATGGGCATCCAGCGATATACTCGCCGAACCCAGCACTACGTGGGGCCCAGATTCATGAGACCAAATGTTCACGTTCTCATCGGACCAAGCCAACTGTGTGCAAACATCCAACCGCGCTCGGCCGTCGCCCTTGCAGCCCGGCGCACTGCGCTGCCGGTCTGTCGTCGCCAGGGCTGAGGGAAGCGGAAGTGTTGATTTGGCTAAGAAGCCGTGCAGCTCCAGTGTCTCCGGCGCCGCAGCCGTGCTCTTGGACCTCCCCTCCAGCTAATTTGGAGCTGACAATCATATGGCCATGCTGTGCGGGTAAGGGCCGGATCGATGCGACTGCGTACCGCTGCGTGTTGACAGGGGTGCCGAGCAAACGCGAGGCGCCCATTCCCAAGCGGCCGGGCGGGTCTCCCGTCACGTGCACACTGCCAAATGAAGCTCGCATACGCGAGCAAATGCAGGGGGCCAGATCAAAATGCGTCAGGAGCACCGCTGCTTCATCGGGCGCGGGGTCTGGAGCTGTAAGTTCGAGTGCTGGATGATTTGGGGAGGCACTGCAAAGCTTCAGTAGTCGCATCGATCCGGCAACACACCGAAGTCCGGTGAGGGTCGGTAGAGTGCAGGCCCGTCCCTGTAAAGAACTGCTGGAATCTGGGTCTGAGCGAAGGCTTGGGTCTCACAGTGTGGCCGGAAATGAACAACCTCTTTTGCCAGCCGGGCCCTGCATGTGGGCGCGGAGGACGCTACGCTCGAGAAGACAGCGAGATGCGTTGCTGCACCGGGACCGCCGAAACAGTGCCGATGTTGGCCTCGCATTGAGAGTATGAGCGAATCCAACGGCCCAGATGCAAGTCCAGCACGGCGGCAGTCACGCCGGGAGTGCATAGCGACAGATGCCATCCGAGACGTTTTGCTGCTGCTCGCATTGCAGGAGCACGACATGGCGCGACAGGTCACCAGACGACCGGTTGTTGTCATCGCCTCGGCTTTGGTTTGGTCTGCGATTCAGGAGGAGACGACAATGAGATTTGTGGTTGTCGCTCGGCATAAAAAGCAGCCTGCGAGGCTCGTGCCAAGGCCAATACTCAGCTCTCTCTTTCGCCGCGCTAGCCGCAGGGCGTGAAAGTGGTGCAAACCGGACGTCAATAATGAACTGGCGAAGCAGACCGCAGATGCACTTCGTTCTCAAAACCGTCAAGCGTCGAAAAGCAAGTCGTCCAGACTGGACTGGATTGGACTCTATCAGCAACATGTCTGAATGCAGTGCAAGGTGCCGAAGCGGCGAGATGCGTCCCGAAATTGAAAGCAATGATGCGGCTACTCACACACTGCGGATGACTGAGGAGATGTGGGTGTCTGCCGAGATGTGCCAACGCATCCGTGCGCAACTGAGCTGGACGTTCGCGGACGAGCATTAAGTCGAAGATCGGCGAAGCCGGTCACCCGGATTTGCAGTGCCGAATGAGTCGAAGCTGCAGCGGCCGGTGAGTGCTGCAAATGTGCTCTTCCGCCGCAGTGTGTGATGGGAGGCTGGCAGACCAAACGCTCTTCCGGAAAGACATCGAAGCCAATGTTTCCGTACTGCCGCTTGCCAGCTGTCAGCTTTCATTCCAAACTTTCGCAAATGCAGATCTTGATCGTTGAACAGAGACCTCGTGCACCCAATTCTGGCCGCGGGATAGCATCTTCGCGAAGGCAGGGAATGTTTTCGAGAATTGTCCTGTTGCCGCCCTTCGCCTAGAGAAGCATCATGGCAGGCGCCCACCAGATTGTCTTGCTCGCGCTTCTGCAAAGCTACAGGTTGCATGGCAGCACTGGTATCCTGTGGCAGAATCCGTCTCACTGCACGAAGCACAGGGCTTTGACGACTTGCACTTCGGCTGCTGCTTAGCCGAAAAACCTTAGGGCTTTCTACAATGATCTTACGAGAAATCCAGCGCGGACTGGTGGACTGGCAGAACAACGTAGCTGAAGGCTTGTGGTGCCGTCGATGCGGGCAGGGCAGGGGGACAGTAAAGGGCAGCAGGGGGGCAGGGCAGGGCGGTAGGACAGTAAAGGGCAGTCAACAGTGAAGGGCAGTAAAGAGCAGGCCGAGGCAGAGCAGGGTAGGGCCAGGGAAGGCAGGCAGTGAATGGCAGTGAAAGGCAGTACAGGCATGGCCGTAAAGGGCAGTAAGGTGCAGCATAGGCAGGGGACAGGGCAGTAAAGGGTAGCAAAGGGCAGTACAGGACAGGGGTCAGGGCAGTCAAGGGCAGTAAGGGGCAGTAGGCAGGCAAGTCGAAAAGTGCCCTGCAGCAGCTGCAGCTCAAGATATGCGATCTGGGCAGGCCGCCACAAAGCCTGTCTTACCGCCGGTACCGCAGATTCTCAATAGAGCAAAGAGCGAAACACAGTAAGGCTGCTATGCTGCTGATTGATGTAGGGGCAAGACGAAATCGGATCCATCTTTGGATACTCATGACACTGAGAGCATTAGATGTGCAAGCAAAAGCTGCCTCAAACCTTTCTTCGGCACGCTCTGCAGTGAGTCTTGATCCTGCCGGCTACTTCACTCCTGTTCGTGTCTGCCCGGCAAGACTGAAAGGTTGCAGGTGTCGCTTAGACAGCGCCCAAGGACATCTCTGTAAACTCTTCTCTCGTGGTGCATGACAAGTACTTCGGGTACTTCTCGGTGTCGAGGCCCAAAGTCTGGCAGACCAAAGCCATGCCCCCGGCAGGGAAGTCGCGATCAAAGGTCGCTTGGTAGATGGCCAGGACTTGTGGGTCCACGCCGCTCTTGGGCACCGGCGGCGGGGCGCTGTGAAGAAGCTCCTTCTTCGCCTCCAATTCCTCCGCCGAAGGAGGCGCCGAGGCCATCTCGTCAATACTCTTTAAATTAGAACAGGGGGCTGAGGTTGAGGCTCTCTCGGCTTGAGCCGCAAGGAGCAGGAAGCTGGCAACGTCCGACGGTCCGAGTTCCAAGAGCATCCTTAAGCGGATGAAGGCGCATCTGGGCTTTTTCGGACTCCGCCGGAGCGTCTGGCGATGACGAAGCTCGCTGCTTCAGCGCCTGATACAGCCGTAGTCCTTCTTGTCGAAAGTGTTCTCCCTGAATCGGGTCCTGCCGGAATGGGAAGTGCAGGGCAAAGCAAAGCGGTCACGGAACAGATGTCCTGGAAGATGCCCAGCTCTCCCTTGAGGTAAATTTCCTGGGATCGCGGAGGTGCATGCCTATCCGGTGTCCTCCTTGTACGACGACTCCTGCTGTAATTTCAACGATGACCTACGATGATGCCGACGACGACGACGAATACGATGCTAGTTGTAGTAGTCGTCGTCGTGGTTATTAGTCGCAGTCGAAGTGGTCGTGGCAGTGGCAGTGGCAGTGGTGGCACTACTGTACATCTGCTGCCTGCTACAGCTACTGCTGCCACGACGACGACCACAAATAGCTGCAACGAGTACGACTCAGTACTCAAAGTTCTTCACGGAGATCTCCCTTCCGAGTGCTGCCTGGCTTCTGCAAGGTGCATCGATGCCAAGGGGTGGCCCTTGTCTTTGGCTCTCTTCAGCCACTTGACCGCACCGCGGTCCCCGCCTCGGGATTGAAAACTCAGATTCCTATGCCCTCTGCTCTCAACGATGGCTTTGCCAGGTTGACTCTGCAGGTAAGCCACGGGTTCGCAGAAATAGACCGAAATCCAACATAGCCTGGCACGAACTAGCTTCGTCAAAGACCTGCCTCGAGTTTCCAAGATGAGCCCTGGACCTGCAGACCGCGCTTGTTTGCCTCCACAAAGAGTCCTTGGCTGCATGATCCATCACTGGCCATGAGCAATGCTCTAACTTCGTCGCACTACCGGATGTTAAGACAGCTGGCGCTGGTAGACCTCATCTTTGTCCTGTGCCAGAGGTGCTCCGCCGTCGAAGTCGGCCAGTCTGTACTCACCGACAAGCTCGTCTCCTCATGTTGCTGTGCCGAAGCAGCCCTGACTGTCTCCACGCTTTTACTCTAAGACTTTGCTGCTTGACGCTTCCCAGAGTCGAAGCGAATGCTCTGCCGGAGTGTTCCCCGGGCGGTGGAATGTGACCTCACAGAAATCGAAGTCCCAAGCCAGAGTGGACTTCAATGTCCGAAACCTTACACCCTCCGTAGTTGAAAAACGCTTCTGTGGAGCCCAGGACGCGTAAAGCAAGCGCCGCCGTCGTCCACCTTGCTCTGCAGGGGCTTGGGCACCGCCGCAATGTAGCAGCCTGAACTTGCAGGATAAAGAAATACAAAGAAGCACACCGGCGAAGCTCATGGATCTGCAGCGAAGTCAAGTTGCTGAGAATTCATGATGATGGCCGAGCCGGTCGAACACTCTGCAGAACTGGCTCCAAACCTAAAGCAAAGGAGTCTGTAAGACCAGGCATCATGCATCAGTTTCGAAACCCTGTTAATTGTCTGACCGGCAGCTGCTGCAGGAGGATCTCTCCCGCTTCGCGGGATTTGCTGGACTGGAGTGCTGCTCGCAGCGCCATCAAGCGAAGGTGACCTTCCCAACCGTGTAAGATTGCACCGCACGAACTGTGCACACCAGGCCAAGATAAACCGACCCTGCTTGTAATGCTAGCACCAAAAAGCTTCCCATCACTTCCAGCGGCTTTCCGCTGTGTGCGAACGGGGGCAAAGCCAGGTCGGGCCCATGGCGCTGGTTATGTCTTGCAGAGACACGAACCTTTTTCAGGTGCCGAACGTATCTGAGAAAGGCATGTCACACCAAACTTCACGTCGCTGGTTGGGTGCAGTCATGCGACACCGTGAAGAGTGGCAAGAGCGCGCTGTCGAGGATCTTCCTGAGCCCGCACGAGGCATCATCATTATCATTATCCACCATCACTTCAAGGTTCTATAATGTTCTATACAGGGCCGTTGCAAGTCCCAGTCACGTGTCAGCATGCAGCGGCTGCTGCTCTGCGTCTGCATCCGTGATCATGCAGGACAGGTCCACCAAGGGAGCCTCCCCTGGGCCAAGGCCAAAGCCACAAATCTCCCGAGATCCGAGGAAACATGCGTTCAGTCCGAGACTTTGAGGCCGCCGCGGGAGAGGAAAGGCTCAAGGATGGGAGCCACGAGTGCACAAAGCGGCTCAAGAACTTCCCGGACCTTCAGGAGAAGAAAGGACAAGTCAACTCCTCTTCTGCGCGGCTTATCCTACACGCACTCTAGAACAAGACTTCCTTGAGCCGTATTAGTCCCTCACTCCATGCCCAGCCTCCGACACCAATGGCAGTGTCAACTCGATCCGATCCTGCCAAGAGCTTCGGAGTTCTGAAGGCAAGAACCAACCCCAAGGTGGAATAGAACAAGCACGTAGAGCCGGCTCCTGCTTCCCTTCGTGCACCAGCTTGCGAAAGTACCTCACGGATACCGGGCGCCCGGGATCGTTGCTGCTGAGACACTTCCTTGAGAAGGCACCTCTTCATGAGCCCAGATCTGATCCTCGCATCGGAGGCCTCTCATGTCCATCGCGACACGACTGTCTGACCAAACGACCGAAGCCGGCCTGGTTCACTTCCTGGTGTGCCGATGCCAGGGCGCCGTCAACCTCAAGGTGTAAAGGCTAAAGAAGCCACTCTTACAAATGTTGAAGCTTTGACCAGAGACTGCCAAGGTACGAATTCTGCCAATCTTTGGCAGGCGTGTGCCGACACGGCACTTTCGATGAGAAGACAGCCCTGACGTGAAAGAGGCAGCGCAAGCATGTTGACCCAGCGGGAGTCACGGACTGCCTCTTTGTCCAAGGTTTGGATGGCATCTTCCAGGTGTGGTGTCACATCTTCGCTGCAGACCCAAGGAAGGGGCACAGCACTTCTTGGTGCCGGCAGAGGGGCCTGCAGAGCCCAACTCTCGCTGCGCGTACTGTCTCAGTCTCAGCGTCACACACAGAGATTTCCCAAAGCCTCGCAGATGGCCTCCCCCTTCCTTCCGGCTTTCCATTTCACGGTCGTCTCCATGCTCGGGAGTCCTGTAGCGCCCGAGCCGAAACCGCTCAGCCAACCTCAGCGCTCGGGCGGCTCGGGCTCTGGGCTCTCCAGCGGTGCCCCGCTGAGCAGAAGACTCCAGAAGGAAGGCCGCTCGGGCTCAGCTCCGGGAGCTCCGGGAGCTCCGGGACGCTCCAGCTCAGCTCCTGCCGACGCTGCTCTCTTGCTATGAAAGTTTGCGCTTACGCCTGACTGAAAGCGACACGAGCGCGCCTGGGCAATCTAGGAAATCCAGCAAAGACTTCGAAGACAGCACACCTCCAAGCGTGGACTTTCAGCTGGGCAAGGAAACGGCGTTCAAGCGGCTGTTCAGCATCCGTGCAATGGTTTCGCGCAGGATGCAGAGCGATACGCTGTACCAGAAGAACTTTTCAGAGTCAATACGCCTGGTGGGAGCCTCGCGATTTTCCGAATGAGCCCCCTGCTAACGGCTTACGTGTTTCAGCGCAGCATCTGCGAAGCTTATGGATCACGTTAGATGTTCCACAACCCCCCTAAAGGCTAGCAGCTAGCAAATCCGAGCAGATCACCTTAAAAACAGCTATGCTCGGACGTCGTGCCAAAACTCCGCAGCACTTTCGGAACCTTCCGACCGGGTACATCCATCCTGATCCGGCGCTGCCATTGGTGTCATGACGCTGCACGTCCGTGCTCCACAGTATGTTCTGCATGTGCAAGAGTGAAATGCTGGGCTCTGGGTTCCAAAGCGGCGAGGAAGCTTAAGTCGATCTGGGCTTCTTACCACTGAGTGCCGTCTCGGCTTGAGCAAACTAGAGCGGCCTGACCAGTTGAAGCTCCATCATTGCATTTCAGTGCAGTTCGAACGCAGATCTCAACATTTTGTTCAATTCGGCTCTTGCGTGGTGGTTTGTCGCAAAGACATCGCAGGTTTGCCGTGCTGCAGAGCTAATCTCGGCGCATTCGTACACAACGCGCACCGACCTCACCGAACCTCGTCGCGGGCGCTGCTGGGATCGCAAGTGCCATCATCTCCCCAGCTTAATATGGGGATATTGTACTCGTACACATGCAGTGCCGGCTGCTCCCTCTTGCCACCATGACTTCGTCGCTCATGAGGAAACACTACACCCAAGGAACATAAAGCCTCCGGCATGCAAAGGTTGTTGCAGATTGCAAATACGGAGATTCGAAGTGTGGGGCCCGCCAGCACGACTTGCACGGTGCCCTCAAGGATTCGAATCTGCGTCAGACTGTCCCATTAGGCTGTACAGAACTCCGATTAATGGACAAGTCATGGGCCGTCTCCTGAAGCACCAGTATAGAGTTTAGGGTGTGGGGTTCTATAAGGGTTCCTTTAAGGTTTTGCTTCTGTAAGAGTTCTATGTTGAATCTGGGATATTGCCCAAGAAACACGCTTGGTCTCGCGAGACATTGAACCAGTGACTTGTCCACGTTGCTATGTTGACACTAGGATCCGGGCAACTGCAAGTGAAACCATGAAACATGAGCCCAGCTTGTTCAAATGATTCCTTGGGCATGTCTGTCCTAGAAAACTTGGCAGAAGCCTCCCTCTCTTGTGACATGTTGTGACTCTGCTGCCTCGTGGTGGCACATTGAGGTCGGCAGGAACCGAAAACAAAAACATTGCTGCTCTGAAGGGGAGGATTCTAGCAGCTGAACAGGATCCTGATTACATGCAAGGAGTGGCGAAGCTGGAGTCTCGAGAGATCAAGACCTTCCAAATCCAGCTTGTCATCCTTGAGCAGGGCCTGGCACAGCAACTCTTCTGGTAGCTTTCTGCGCCCGATGTCCGATCGGTCTGCAGCAGTTTAGTCCAACCCTGCTGTGCTGACCTCGCCGCCTCCGCGTTCTTCGTCCACCCTGCACAGCAAAGAGGCTTCCGTGGCCATGATCCTGCAACCTCCCGGAATCTCCACGATGCACCTTGCCATGAGACCTCCAGGAGATCTCGGACGGGACCAGAAAGGCATCCTGCCAGGGGAAACATTGGGAAAACCTTGCTGAGATTTTTTGCGCCGTGGCCTCTGGGCCACCAGAGGGTTTCGTGAAGTTCTGCGGCCCCACGGGCACGATCACAGGGCCTGATTCGCCCATCCCCACGGCCTGCCAAAAGCACAACTTCGGCACCGCTCTGCATCGCTTCGCTATGCCGCTATGCTATGTTATGCTCGTCATCTCACGCGCACCTTTTCCGTAGCTTTGTACGATTTGCGTGTGCCGAGGACCTTCCGACAGCGTGGGGCCCAAGCTGCCTCCGCTGCCGTCCGGCTCCAGGGCGCTCGGGCGCTCTCTCATCGCTCCTCGGCCTCCAACTCATCGCGCTGATGCTCGGCCGAGACGCAGCGAGAACACATGCACAAGAATCCGTAGTCTTGCTGCAGTAGCTTTCGACGTTCTTTCTGCTCCAGGTCGGGAAGCTCTCGGATGTAGTCGATCGTTAACTCCTCACCCTTCTTCACGTTCTGCTTGGTGCGCAGCGACAACACGGGGACGGGAGCGGCGTGAATTTGCCACTCACTGTTCGGCTGGCAACTGTGGTTCAGCCTTGAACCCTTTACGAACAGAGCCTGCGAGCCAAAATAGAAAAGTCTATAACACACAGGGCCAACTATGGCAAAGAATAGGACACCCGCAGCAAGAACAGACTTTACGTACTGTGCCTGGTAGCGATATGCATATGCGCAGCCAGTTATTGCACTGAGCAGAGCCGGACAAACGACTACGTGTAGTATTTGGTTGCGGTGGTCGTCAAGCGAGTCACAGTAGTGAAAGCCACAGTTGTCCCAGATCTGCAGGTGTTGCTGCGCAGTCAAGAGTGAAGAGTCTGGTGGACTGGCGGCAGTGGTGGCAGTCTCGTTAGGATCAGGCCTACTACTTCTGCTTCTCAGCTGGTTCCTCGGGCTTTCACCAGCTTCCACCTTGCAGTTCGAGGCGTCACAAACCGGATACAGGGATCTATATTGGGACTTCAAGTCCATCGCTAGCGCGTCGTACTTGCGCTCGACCTTCTCCCGGCGGTACACGATCACACCAGTTAGTATCATCCAGGTCTTCACGAAGACCAGCGCAGGCTCTTCAAATAGCAGCATACCAGGTTGAAAGTCTCTCTTCGCCACGACCGCACGTCCACGACCCTCCACCTCCCGAATCTCAAGGAAAGGGCCAGCATCCATTGAGAACAGAAGCGGGATCGATTAAGGCAGTGGTTAAGGCTGTCAGAGGGTACCACGATCAAGCTTCAAGCTGCCTGCTGCGCTGTTGGGATTAAGCGTGAAATAAGCTTGGAGCCCATTGCAGCCACGTTGCACAACGTACAGCAAGCTTCAAGTGGGGGAAGTGGTCGCAGCCCATCATGTCTTGCAGAGTGTTTCAAAGGGAGAGACTAAGAGGAATTCCAAGGGATGGAATCCTGCCTGCCTCGAGTGTGGTATAGGCTTCATGACTGATGCAGTTGGCAGATGGGGGGGGTTGGATCGGGCTCCGAAAACCACACCTCAAGGAGCCCAAGCCAAACTCTACCAGTGCACGCAAGGACCAGCCCATGCCTCGCGGAAACTGCCTCCGGAAGGAGCGCCCTTGGGGCTCCACGCACATGCGCTTTCTAGTCGGCCTCCTTAAAGAGCGAGGCCCAGTTCAGGGGCAAAAAGGCCATGAGATCCCAGGCTGAGAGTCGCGCGGGCCATGGTCATCTGCTTCCAGAACCGCGGCCTCTGTCAAGCACGTGCGAGTCCAAACGAGCTACTGGTAGCATGCCGTCAAGCAGCTCTTTCCGCTGGCGTCGCTGCCCCTGGGAACAGCATTCTGAATCGGTACTAGTATCAACTAGTAGGTCACTACCAGCAGTATCCCTGGTCTGGGGAATTCGGAAAGCCGCAGCTAAGCATTCTGCCGTCTCCTCGCGGCCGGAGCCATGGTGGGATCCCACGGCGCTGGCCGAGTCGGAATCGGAGAGCTTCGTGGAGCGGCCACGACAAGAGCCTCCAATAAAGAAAGGGCTTCGAGCTTGGGATTTAGATGTTTAGCTGTAGCTTCTACCCCTACGGTGATCCATGGTTGCGCGCCTGATGTGTCACTGCCCAAACCCCAAGACTCAGAGCCCGAAGGCTGGGAAGATGCTCTGCATTCCTGTGCAGAAACTTGTGACACATGACTGAGATTGCCTGAGTTTGTTGCTGCCAGGGTTCGGAGGCACTTCCATCCATAGGCGAAGCTAGATGCCATGGCGAGGAGACATGCACCTTGATCAACATCCCTTGCAGAACAACATGATCTTGTTCTCCGAAAGCAGAGGCCCAAGCGTATCCCTGCAGCGACGTTCCGTGCGCGGCACTGGACATGACCTGATCTCCGTGACTGGAAGCTTGGATTCTACACAGCATCCGCTTGAAGCCGTGGCCGTCGAGGATGCCGAGCCGTGCGGTGACGACGCTGGAGTGCCTGCGTCTCCACGACAAGACAATCCAAGTCCCGTCTAACTCTTGTAAGACGAGCCTTGCCTGTGGTGCTCGAGGACGCTGCATGTCCGGGAACGCTTGGCGCAGGACCTGATGCAGGCGCCCAACTCCACGTTGAGAGCACGGGCCCGGCTCTGAGGACAGCGCAGGCAGGGCGCAAGAGGCCAGAGGCAGGATGCCCTGAGGACACAAGAGTAAGAGAGCCGGCTCTGAAAGCTCAGCATGACTGCACTCTCTTCTCGCTTGGCGGCTTGGCTGCAGACCCATCAGAGGCGACCATCCCAAAACAGGTCCAACATCGTCGTGGGGCGGCTGGTAATCCACATCAAAGGGAACCTCCTGTGGTTGCAGCACACGGGGCCAGGCCATGCCGTCCACAAGCCACGCGCAGAAAGGAGGGCCAAACAAAACACGAATTGAATCAAGCAAAGCATAGTCTCCTCATTCACAAAGGAGTGCTGCAGCGCCTTTCGTTCAAAAATTAGGCCATGGTAGGAGACGCCAAACAACCGAAGCATAACAAATGTCGGCCTGCTTGGCTGTCCAGCGGCACTTGGGGTTGATCTGGAAGAGACCCGTCAAGAACTGAAGAAAGCAAGAGCGGCTTTCCTGCAGCTGTCATCCCGAGGCCCTGCCCTCAACTCTTGAAAGCGTGTCTGAGTGTCGGAGCACATCTGAGCTCGTTTCGTCACTTTTGTCAGTCTGTCAAGAAGGTGAGGTTTAAGTTTCTTTCCGAGTATGCTGAATGTTTAGGAAACATGTGGCAGAATTTGGAGGCAACTGGCTCCTGCAGTGGCAACAGGCATTGCTGGCAAGGCTTGGACGGGTTCGAGTCTGAGGCGAGTCAATATGAACAACCCTCGCACACTTTGTCCACTTTGTGTTTCTTGTATGCTGTATGCCTGAAACAGGACCGACTGTCAGAATCGTTTCGCTACTTGTTGAGGGGCAGCTTTCTTTGCTCTGGAGCAACACCCAGGCTGCTTGAGATTGATGTGCACACTGCCCGTCCTCGCTTACCTGAGCTACGACTTCTTCCAAGGACCTCATCACAAGACGTAAGGAAGCAGGCAAGAACATGACAAAGCAAACTTTCAGGGGCGGGGCGTGAAGGGCCAGCTCCGCTTTGAGAACACCTCAAGTCTCAAGTGCCACAGCTCCTCGCAGATGTCCAGAGACAGCTGCCTGAGGCCTCGGCTGCCTTCTTGTTCGAGTCCTTCTCGTACTCCTCACCTTTTCGAATCATGCCCGAAAGTTAGTCCAAATTTCTGAAATGTTGACGCAGAGAATGGACAACTTCTTGCCCGGGCACCCGTTTTCAGTCTCCAGGAATAATGGACTTTCCGCTTGCGCTCAGCAAGGCTTCTTCTGGAAGGCTCCTCGCAGCATCAAGCAGCTCTTGGACCTCTCGTTCAACTCCCAGATGCTTGGCATCATCAGATCATCAGCAGCTCTTCAGGACCTCTCGGCTCCCTCACGGCTCTCTACAACATCGCCGTCTCTCCTGGTCCTGGCCAGCACTTTCTCCACCTGTCAGTCGGCACATGACACCACCACACTTGACGAGAAAGGGCAGGCTGCAGAGAGAACCCCGCTGGCAACAAGCTTGCCTGGCAAACTCGGCGGAAGGGTGCTACAAGTCTCCTGCAGCTTCTTGGATTTGCATCAGTATCCAGGTCGTCAGCTTCCCGCAGTCCTCGGAGCTCTCGTGACTCGGGGCGGTAGTTTGCGTGGAAAGCGTCTCTGAAACCTTCCAGGATAGCTCTCTCAGCGAAGCGAACACAACTACACTTCTATCGACATCTAGAGAACTACCAGTGCTAGCGGTGCCTCGACCACATCGACAGAGCCACTGAGCCCTGGCATTGCTGCTCAGGAAAAGGCGGTTCTACGACCATCCTTGAGGCAACCCTTTTGAAGGAAGTGGCAAGAAAAGCAAGACGAATCGCACATGTTGAGACGGGTCGAGTATTCTATGTACTCTGGTCGTACCTTTCAACAACAGACGGCGCAAACACCAAAGCTGAGCAAAAACCCTACGGCCGACAAAACAAGCTGTGCGGTTTACAGCTTTGACATCTGGGGCCAGCGGTGGCGAGTGAGGGGAGAGACATGTCAGCGGTCTGTCATAGAAGTCCGAAGCAAAACAGATGGCCTGGGGCTTTGGAGCTCGAGGGTTCATTAAGCCTGGACTCTTGGCAGGGCTCATCGCTTTCCAGTCCATACCTCAAAAGGGTCCTGCGAGGCTTCGATAAAATGTTTAGTTCCACAAGGCGCTTCCAGAGCGCATCAGATCAGGGACCCTAAACCAACCACCCCAAGTCCTACACCACCGTAATCCCCAAGCCCTCATGCCTCGAATCCCAGGCCCTGAAAGCCCTCCCCTCCCCATGAAAGCCAGAAAACAAAAGGGCCCGCAGGCTTAGGGCCGTTTAGGGTTCAGGGCTTGTCAGGGAGGGCCCGACTTCCGATGACACGGCTACATGGCTCCGGAATTCCCGATCGCAATCGCCTCCCAGGGTCAGGGGCACGTCGATCAAGTCGTCCTTGCAACCTGTGTATCCTGCGTACTCCTCGCGGCGAAAGTACCTCTTTCGCTTCACGGCACATCTGCACATGCGCACATGCCACGTACACGCCTGCTGGGACTGTCGTCGTGCCCTAGCCCTGGCCTTTTCGTCTTGCTGCCCATGCTGAGCATCTCTGCAGGCGGAAGGCCAAGCAGCTTGGTGATGCTGCGAATCTGGTCATACTCGCACTGCCCTCAGGATCGGACCGTGCACAGCCACGGTTCACCAAGGGCATCTCACTGCACGGCCTGTGAAGAGCGGCAACCCGAGGTTCAGCTCCGCGCAGATGCAGCCCAAGCTCCTTGGGGGGCTCATTTCGTTCATGTCGGCTCGGGCCCACCAGCAAAACAACAAATGCAGCTTGGAGACCACAGGTCAATGGCACTTGAGTATGGCAGGCCCAACAGCACCTCGGGAGACCTTGAGAGAAAGTGGGAGCTCCCAGCATAACGTCCCAAAGCATGTGAAACACTCTTAGTGCCCCGCCGATAGAACCGCGACTGGATATAGGTGTGCATCATGTGAAACTCTGCACACGCCGAACCGAAATCAATCAGCTTGATCCTGCCCAAGGTGATGGACAACAGCGCTCGAGGCCACATGCAAACAGAAGGGGCAAGCCAGGTCCTGATGGGATCGAGAGTGCACACCATGACATTCCTCAAAACGACCGATGTGCAATGCAGAAGCTACTCGTAGCTCTCAGACGGCACCCGCGAAATCGGCCGGGCAGCTCAGGCTTGAGATCACAGTGTATCAGCGCAGCATCCCGCAAGCACTGCAAAGCCTTGCAACATGCAAAAAATTGTACTTCAAAGTCTCCAAAGAAGCACAAAAGCAACGAAAACAGCCAGGACAATTGGACTTGACAATCACAACGTCACGCAAAACCTACGAAAACACTCTGGGCGCGCTTTAAAATGGGCAGGAACAACCCGATCCCGACGAGTCATTGCTAGCCAGAAACCAGGAGCTCCACATCCCGGGGACCCAATCCCCTGTTTCAGACCTTCGACCTGCTCCTTTTGTGTAATGTTGTGAAACTGCTTTTGCACACACACACACACACAAACACACACTCTGTTGTGTTGTCTTCTTAGTTGCTCGGGCTGCAGCACTGATCAGCAAGCTGACCCCCTCGACTCCCCCTCGCATCTGTCCCACTCCTGGTGGCAGCTCCTCCGCAAACCTCCACCATGATGAGTGTGAGTAACCTTCCCTTGTTACCTGTCCCCCGACGAACTTGGCAGCTCTCTTTTTGTGTCTCTTTCTTCTTCAGCACAGGCAGAGAGGCGCACGTCCAGAGTGTCTCTTTCTTCGCTTCGCTTCTCAGGGGTAGAGTCTGCAAGCAGACCCGGGCCAAGGCCCCCCCTTCCCCGATATGACGCTGTCTCTTTCTCTCTCTCTCTCTTGCTTGCTCTCTCTCTCTCTCTCTCTCTTTCTTTCGTCAGGGCCATGGTGTAGGGGCTTTACCCCTACACTCTCCCTCGCTCTCCTCTCTCTTTGCTTCGCTTTGCTCGGGGTTTGAGGCGGGAGCAGCCCTCCTTTTGTGTGGATGGGCTCAGCTGTACGAGCAAGGTGTCCCCTGTTGTTCAGGGTAGTGGGTGGGTTCCCGGCTTTCAAAAGGAGAGTGAGTATGTAATGAACATCATTGGGTTCCCCACTCCACTTGGTACTGCAGGTTTTGGGCCCCCGACTGTCTTTCAAAAAGTAAGGTGCGTCCTGGGTTTGCTGGCGTAGCTGCTGGAAGATCTCTCCCGCCTTCAGAAGCTGCTTCGTGACCGTCTGGATCGTGGGCATCGCCACGCGGCGGTACTTGTTCCATTTCAGGAACTCCAAGAGGTTCATGCTTAACCTCGCCACAGAAACGAGCAGCGCAGAAGTTAAATTCGATGCGGGCATGCTGGGGCCCACACAGCTCGAAGGCAATGCAGAGGTGCTTCCGAAAAACGAAACAATCCAGCATTCGAACGATGTGCTGCCTCGAATGGTGGTTTCAGCGAGACAATGCACCAAAAAAAAACAAAAACTGACCCTTGCAAGATGTGAGGAATCGCTTGAACCTGTCGAAGTCGAAGCTTGGGCCAGGCCGAGGCGCGTGTCGAAGCAATTTAGTCTCTTCAAGACATTGGCTTCGATGCAGCCCTGCGGCTCGGGATGCTCGCGCATGCACGCACATGCTCGCAGTCCGACTGTGGTGCTGGCCTGGTTGAAATAGGCCGGCTTGTTTTTGCTGATTTTCAGCGCAACTGGCCTTGACGGCAGCGCTCAAGGAGCAACGCACTGCTTTCCCAAACATGTTAAGCGCAATGCGGAGAACCATCGACTTGGCACTTCAGCACTTGGCCGAAGCTGCCCTGACCTACAGCAGCTTGCGCTTGACGTGAAAACTCCCCATGTTCCGCGCTGTAGATTGATGTCCTTTCATCTCTCTCCTCTCCTCGTCTCAGAGAGTAAGCCCAACACCCAGATTCTCGATAATCTCGTAAGTCTTTCCAAATTCCTGGCTGTCGTTGACGACTTTGTCTCCAACATGGCCTTGGGTCAAAGCAGACTACAACATGGTGTACGTCGCCTACTACATGGCCCCACAACTTACAGACACAGGTCTGATGACCTCCAACAGCACAGCAAAGCACAGCTTTTGGTCATCTGAGTGGCAAATGTAATTATGTTCCGCATTGTCAAGTCCTGAATTATGTACACCTTCGCACGGCCAGGTGAGCGTGCGTTTGGGGTTCCTCGGTTGACTTGAACATGCCGATGCAAAGAAGACGCTCTCCGCATCTCTTTGTCCGCCACGTGCAAAAGCAGTCATCTCTTAACTGCAGCCGGAGGACGAGCCCTGCGAGTAGGTGAACTCTCCAGAGCCTGACTTCTTCGAAAGCACACTCAGTGCAACTCCCGAACATCCCGCAAACATCCCAAAGTTCACTCGGAGGAGCAGGTACTGTACACTTCGACGACGCGTTCGGTGACCGCCTTCAGGAGTAGACCATGTCTCCGGTCCTCTTTCAGACTCTCTGCGGTCAAAGGTAGCTCAGCGGAAAAGAGTGCAGGGGAACTCGGGCAGTCCTTGGCTCGAGGGCGGTGAGGGAGGTTATCTGGAGGTCGCATGTTGCAGCATTTTAGGTGCGTGTCCTGAAAAGGGGAAAGTTGAGAACACCTCCTGTGAACACAGCCGGCTTCACTTCAGCTGTGCCTCTGCCATTGCCACTACGCCCGCAGGCTGTAGGTCGGGCGGGGCCGCACATGAGCCGAAGAGTGTCAGGGATGAGAGAAATGAAAAAATAGGTAGAACTCAGCTGGATGCCACCCTCTCCTAGACAACCCTGAGAACGAAGGCAGCTTTTCTGGCTCAGCGATCAAGTCTGAAGAATCTTGCTAAACGAGACGCCAATCTGTAGGAAGTTGAAGTCCTTCGAGAGGGCAGCGTGCATGAAGTGTTGGAACAGCAGTCGGTCTGTTACTGCCTGCATGCCGTAACTCTGCACGTCCTGCAGAGAAATGGAGTGTCGCTGCTCGATGTCACATGCCTTCGACAAGGTCGTCTCGAAGAAACGGAAGAATCTGCAAGCACTTTGCCTCGAACACCAAGTCTGCGCTACCGGTAAACCTCAGCACGGCAACAAAGCTGGACATTAGATCTGCTGGAGCATCGGAAAGTTGCTGTGCAACAAGCATCGACTTTTTCTGGCAGATGCCTCGTTCCCGCCGCTCACTTCACTGGTCCCCGTAGTGAGCGTTGACGTGGCGATTCGCTTGATCTTCAGGCACTCGCACGCCACAGACCGGACAACAAACACCAGATAGGCGGATCCTTTTGGCGCGACTGGCAAGTCTTTCAACCACTCGCTTTAAGCAGCCTTTGGGCAACTGGCTCTGGCTCTGGACAGTCCCTTCATCTGGTCGAGGGTCTCTGCATTTCTCTCTTTGATCCTCTTGTGAACTGTCAAGGTCAATCACGTTGGCCTTGGCCTCCTGCGGCTTCGGCATCCCGGTGTTCAAAGTGTCCGGCCCCAGCCCAGCAGGTGAGCCCTCCGGCTGCTCCGAGCCTTTGCTTTGAAAGAAGCTGATCAACTGCTGTCCCTTGTCCAAGGTCGCGCGCTGGTCTCTAAAAGAAGACACTCGGACTCCCATGAGGCGCAGGTGACAGGGAAACTGCTCTTCTAAAACAGGCTCCAGCAACTTGTAAAGCTCCTGAGTCACCCGGGCAGTCTCCTGCTCTGCATGCTCCCTGCCGTCTTCTCCTTCTTTCCCAAAGTTGGGACTGAAGCCCAAGGGCTGAATCAGACTGATCTGCTTATTCCGCACCTCAAAGCTCGATGCCTTGGTTTTCAGCGCCACAACTCGACCCGCAAGAGGTGGAACCGAAGCCGCCATGTCCTGGGGCGGCGAAGAGGTCAGAAACCTAAGAGATCCTAAGAACTAGATAGTCAACACATAGTCTCTTACTCTAGGGCTCCATACTGTCGCAGGGTACCATATGATTATCCTGTTCTGTTCGGCCTTTACAGCTCTTCATCTTCATCCATTTCATTCATCCGGTGCGTCCTCGCTGACTTGCCTGCAGAGATCGCGCAGGCGCCCGCGAAGCTCCGCGGGCTCCGATTCCGCGCGGAAGGTGCGCTCGCAGGACAGGGACTTCCGGGCCACGTTGCCAACCTCCCCCCCCTCCTCGGCCAGCTCATCAGAGGAGAGGCCAAGACAGGCTCGCAGGAGAAAGCTGCAGGTCTTTCTCCCCTGGAATGCGCGTTTTACACGCGCAGCCGCAGCTCGAAGCTCAGCACAAGTTTGCACGCCCAACATGATCGAGATCTGGTTCTCGAGCACCTTCCCACAACCCGGGAGTTTCCGAACTGGCAGACGGTCCATGAACTCCAAGACGGCCTCCCTTGTGGGTAGAACCTGCGATTGGCCGTCAGGCTTTCTCTCATCCGAAGCTATTTTGGCAACCATGCGATTTGGACCGATGCCGGCCGAGCACGTAATGCCAGTGCGCGCCTTGACCCGATCGCGCATCTCTTGCACCGCAGCCTCTGCGCTGACCCCGTGCGCAGCTAAGTAATCTGTCAGATCCAAGTACGCCTCGTCCAGGGACATGGCTTTGAAGTGCGGATCGTACTGCCGGAACACCTCTCTTGTTTCCATCGCCACCTGCGTGTATTTCGCAAAGTTTGGCGTGATGAAAACAAGCTCGTCCGGTGGCATCTTGGATCCAATGGCAGCTGGGTTTTTCACCATTTCAACTGCGATAAAGCCTGGCATTGCAGCTCGGACCCCGTACAAGCGTGCCACATAGTTAGCGGTGGAGATCATCCCCAATCCTCCGATAGCTACGGGCTTTGATGCCAGGCTGGGCTGATCTCGAATTTCAACTGCAGCATAGAACATGTCCATGTCAACAACACAGTGGGTTCGAGAAAGATCGCGATGCTTCTCAAGCCCTTCTAGCTCGGCTTCGATCTTCCTCCGTTCCGATAGCAACTCGCTTTCGGACATTCTCGCTTCGGCAATGCGCAGCTCTTTCGCCACCGCCTCCGCTCTCGCCTGCTGCTTTGCATCAAGCTCAAGCTGATGTTGCGTGTACTGAGAGTTCTTGCTCTTCTCGTAAACGAAGTCGGCAACCAGCTTCCTGTCAGCTCCCATACCTGCCTTGTTGGCAGAGACCCCCGTGAAGTTGAACAAGTGCGACTTCTCCCCACTGCCCGGATTGCCCGAAGCCGGGGCTGAAGCTGAACTGCCTGTCGCCATGGCTGGAGCTCCGCGTCCATCTCCTTCATGCCCACATCGGCCCTGTTTAGGACCACTAACCTTACGTCCCTACATACGTGTAACGGCGTAACATAGCCTCAACCTACTGAGGAACCGAAGCACAAGCGTCGCCTCTCGGTCTACCTCGTCAGTTGCCCGCGAAAGACTGCAGTGACCAATCCTGTCAAAGTACAGCTTCTTGCGCTTTCCCTCAAGTGGGTGATCCTACCAGCTGCGGTGAACAGCTTGAAGCTAGCGGCCGCATCGGGGACGTCGGATTCAATTCGAATCTCGCAGCTTGCTCAGCGAGAATTTTAGCTTCTTCGGTGGATACCCTCCTGCTCCTCGCAGCGACTGCTGCACTGCTATGCCAACGCTGACCCTTTCCAGGCATTGCCAAGCTGCCCAATCGCGCGTCGGGCAGCTTGAGCAAATTCGACCTACCGGAAAGGGACGCGCAGACCGAAAGAAGAGGCACGAACAGGCCGCCTTCCTCAGCCGGGAATCACCTGATTTCAGCGACTCCTGGCGCAGCGGAGTCAGCTGATGGTCTACACGAGTCTACCACCTCACCAACCCCAACAAAAAACAGCAGCAGCAACAGCAGCAGCAACGACGACTCCAAGCTTTGACGCCGCGCGATGGTGCCCAGGCAATCGGGTTCTGGTGCTCACAACTTGGATCAGCGAGTTCAGCTGCGAGACAGAGTTGCATCCGCTTGAACTGAAACATACTCTTTCTCTGGCCACGACTCCTGTTGCTACTACAGGTACTGCTGCTCCTACTGCTTCTGGTGCACCAGACTCCTGCAAGAGAACTGCCCATAGGTCTTCTGCAGAATGGAACCTTAGAGGACAGGCCAAGTCTTGCGAATGGCGAGGGCTTTGACTTCTCGGCCCTTGCAAGGGACCCGAGAATGCTGCTTTGCCATTGCCTTCTTCCGGAATTGGAGAAGCTCTTTGTGCAGCGCCTCGGCACGTGACACCACTGCCACTTGCAGGCCTGGTGGCCTGGATTCCCGGCGGGACCCCTGAGTTCCTAACAGGTAGGAAGTCGAGGAGCGAAATGCCTCAAATGCTGAGAAATCCTTTGAGTTCAACGCAGCTCAACCTGAGCACCGTACGCCCCAGCAACTTGACCTTCCAGGCACATCACATCTGTGCTTCTGCGCTTGCGATCATTGCGTCCATCGCGTTGCCTGTGTCTCGCCCCCGTCACGAACGGGCTTCTCGAATAGGTTCAGAGTCGAGGTCTGCACGGTGCCTTGGTGAGCAATCGACGCGAACCATCTCGACGGAACCCATCAACAAGGGCTGCGACTGGTGCGGCTTGACGCACCGCCATCAGATGCCGCCAGGCGGATCCGCCTGAGCCAAGCCGCCGGGTGAACGCGACCCTTTCCGGCACTCAACAAGGCCTCTCTGCAGTGGAGGTGCGCATACCTCCCAGACATTCAGAAGACCAAGAGGAGCAACACTAGAGACGAGAAGCTGGGGGCTCTGCCAGCTCTCTTGCGACCCATCAGCATCAACTGGTGCGCCTGAACAGGACACCAAAAAAGGCTGACCCTCTCACCCTCTCCTGGCTCTCCTCTCTCCTCTCCACTTTGGGCAGAGGCGGAAATCAGCTCTCTGCATCTCTCTGCACTCTGCTCTGCTCTGCTTCGCCGCCTGCATGAGCTCGGGGTCGAGACCTGGGGCCACACAGTGCACACAGAGAGAGCGAAAAAGAGCGAAGAGGAGCCTTCGCGCTGATCCTCTCTGTGCCCTGTGCGCTACAGCGGCCGCTCTTTTTGGCTGACGATCTTCAAAAGTGTCATGCGCGAACATCGGAAAATGCTTCAAAGAATTGAAAGATGTAGACCAAGTGCCTGATGATGCCTCCGATGCGGTAGCACGAGCAAAATAGACCCATGTCATCCACCTCGAGCTTGCTGCCAGCCCGAGATACAAACGTCTGGGGGATAGCAACTGTCGACGAAGGGCGGCAGTGCGGATGCTCTCTCGTAGTACATCCGGACGTCATCTGTCACCATCAGGTCATCCAGGCTGTAGCCCTTGAAGTGCTTCGTTGCGTTCTGAAGTACGTAGAGCTTGGGCAGGAGATCACAGTCCAACAGAGAAGGTGTATCTCCGGCCAGAAACCTCGTGTCCACAGGGAGAGAGAACAAGTGGGTCCGCAGTCGCGTCAAGGCCATCTGCAGGTTGAGCTTGAGCTCATCATCCTTGCTGCTGTCCGTGTTCTTTGTATAGGCTGCAATCTCGGGAAAGATCTGCGACCTGTCTACCACACTCACGTACTCTTCGGGTACTGCGAGGGAAGGTCCTGGGAACTGATTCTCGATCCATCCCAGAATCTGCTTGGTGTCCACATGAGGCACACCCTCGTGGACGACGCACGGCATCTGGCCGTCTACTTCGCTCACTAGCCAAGCAGGCTTGGTTGCCTCTGTACAAGGAACCACATCGTAGTCAACGCCCTTCATCTTCAGTGCCATCTGAACTGAGTGCGAGAAGGGGCAGTCGCCCAGCGACACTCCGTCCGCCCCAGCTTTCGTGAAGAGTGTCCTTGTCTGCTCGTCAGGTCTGGCAAAGCCCCTGTACTACCGAGACGGCAAGAGACCCAACAAAACAAACTCGTGCAGTCAAAGTCAAGTCGCGTTCTGGATGGCTTCTCCGTCGGAACAGCTTGCAATTTGCACTTGAGCTCCCTCGATGAACTGACTGAAAGCCCTTGCACAAAGCCGGGCTTGGCCTGGGCCTGGCTGGCTGAGCGCACAGACTTGGCTAGCGGCTTCCCTCTGCTGGACGCAAAGCCCAACACAAGGCCCCCGAGAGAAAGACCCAGCCACGAGTGACCACTCCTATCAGACAGCCGAGCGCTTTGTCTCTGACAGGTACTGCATGCCTGCAAGGATGCCGGCAGGGTAGCTGTGGGAGGCAACGCGAGCGGAGCTATGCTGAGCGACATGACAGAATGCAGCACTCGCTCGAGCAAGAAAGGCTGCAAATTGTGCGGATCTCGGGTCGCGAAGGCTGTCATCTGATCATGCACAGAACAGTAGTCGCATGACGAGAGGCAGGGACCTGCTCCGTGCACTTGCGCCCACAACGCAAGGAGATTTCCCTGGCTTCCAGGCGGCTTGTCATTGGAAGCAGCATCACAAGGATGAAAGGTGCCTGGAAACCGAGCTTACGACAACGGTTGCAGAACTCCTTGCAAAAAACAGTGGCAGCGCAACGGCCATCATGGCAATGATCCGTTCCTGCCCTGACCTCACTTCATTCCTAACATCAAATAAACTGTTATTCAATATCGATTCACCGCAAGCCCATGGGTCCTCCACATTCATTTCTTCGGTCCATTGCTGCTCCAGTGGCCCTGCACAGAGCCCTTGGCGCCTTGGCAGCAGGACTCAAAGACTCGCTTCTGTGACTCCAACCCAACCCGTTTTCGCAAACTTGGCCTCCTGCCAACCCTGCGCTGCACTCGGACCGAATCTAGCCTCGCGGAGCTTGGACATCGTGAGAATTTCGGAGAAGGCCAAGGACATCAAGGCTTTATTGTGATGGAAAGGAAGAACCCACCAGTACAAGCTTTCTGTACAACAGGGTGGAGCCCTTCTGGTGGAGCCCTTCTACCCAATCCTGCCGCTCCTGGAGAATCCTGTCGAGTTCCTCCCGGGCTTCACTTGGCTGAACCTCAGTGCCGTCACGATGGCAAGTGCCTGACTTGCGCTGAACTTAGCCGGGCTTCAGGCCTTGGCCCTGGCCTGCGCCTACATGCGTTCGCGGGGACATGGTGTATGTCTCTCTGCATGTGTGTGTGTGTGTGTGTCTGTACATACATATGGAAATATGTATATGTATCTGTATATATATATATATATCTATGTATATGTATGTGTACATATATATTTATATGTATACATATATACATATAGATCCATATGTACATATATAGAGAGAGAGATAGAGAGAGATAGGGAGATAGATAGATAGATAGAGAGAGAGAATACATATCTACATATAGTCAAACTATAAATACACATCTGTTAACATCGATATTAAGAGTGTAGTATATAGATTATTAATCTTGATCTGGATATTCAGACTATTAGTAATATGTACTCATGCATGGACACACGGTGGAGAAGGCGTAGTCCATTCAACTTCCCGGAGTATTGAGACATCGTTCCCTCATATGCAACACGGGATCTGTCATCTTCCAAGCTGATTTTCAAAATCGATTTTTATATGATGGAAACATATGAATTTCATTGTCGATTGGTTCAAGCTCTTTTTGAATGTTCGGGCCCTGAAGTGCATTGCATACAAGAGCGGCTGGCGTCGCATGCGTGATACTGTAGCCCCTGATCATCGACCCATATGTGTTTTCGTCAGGCTCTGAGGCGTCACGTGCAGTGCATACGTACATGCAACCATCCATGAACACATGCAACAAACATACATCGGTAGGTCATATGTAATACATACGTAACAGACTGACGGACCGACGGGCGAACGGACGTTACATACACATATGCAAGAAACGCATTGCCCTGTTCAAGGGGCTCCCCTGGCTCCCCGCCTCCTCCACGGATCCCCTGGGAAGGCCAAGCACCTGCCGCATGATGCTAACTGCTAACGGGTCTAACGTCACAAACGAAGAGTTCCGGAGTTCCGACGGCCTCGAGCTCATCAATAGTGATGACCCCATTGTTGCAGATGTCAAGGAACCGTTGGAGTTGCTTTGCATCACGGATGTAGCCCAGAACCTTGCAGGCCCGCTCGAACTCATCCATCGTGCACCGTCCCGATGACTCGGGGTCCAGGACTGCGAACCAGCTCGAGTCCAAGTCGTCGAAGAAGATCCGAAGGAGGCGAGTGAAATCCAACAGGCAGGTCACCGCATCGGGGTCCAGGTCGTCCAGGCAAACTTCCCCCTTGTCGGCGGAATCCAAGGAGAGCCACAAGGCTTTCAGGTTGCCTCATGGGACAAAATGCCAACTGATGACCTAACTCTATGCCCGGACGATACAGAGATTGCTACCACTCCAGGCATGTTTACACGCCCGCCTTGAAAGCCCATCTGGCGGCAAGCTTGGCAGAAATCTGTAAAATGAACCGTGCCGCTTCTATTCAAGTCCAGACTTTGTCGCCATGCCCTCACCAAGTTGCCAAATCTCTGGTTCAAGAAAAGCTTAAACCTGCCAAGCATTGCCTCTGCTTCGGCCCGATCCTTCGCTTGGCGCTCCAGGACACGCTGCTCGGCTGTGGGGTTCAGAGTTTCTGAACGCCGACGCAGTCCCAAAATGTCAAAGTCGTCTATGTACAAATCCCGCCTAACACCACCGACATCCGAGTTCTCAAGTCTTCCTGCAACCAGCCACTTGAAGACGCGGGGCGCGTTGCCGGGATATCTCAGCTTCTTGCAAGAATCCACGAAGTGGCTCTCATTACATCGCCCAGACTTGTCACTGTCGAAAACTCTCTCCCACGCATCGTCCAGCGTGCGGAAGTTATCCTCGAGGAAAGAGCGGAAGTCATCCAAACCCTCCTCGGCAACCCGATCTATGTGACCAAGTGTCAGGTATCCGACGTTGTTGGTGTCCAATGCTCTCCACACGGTCTTCAGCCTGCCCCTGTACCCTAGCCTCTTGCAGGCGTTGCAGAACTCAGGAAATCTTAGGCGTCCATCAGCATCGGCATCCAAGCCTTGACGCCAGGCCGCCACAAGTGTGCGAAACTTTCGGGAGAGGAAAGCATAGAAGTCCCCCAGCGCCTCCTTCTTCGCAGCAGCATCCTGCTCCCTACCACGCTCTCGGACGTTCGGCATAGCGGGATGTACACTCGAACTTCGGTGCTGCAGGTCCAAGAGCTCCAGTTCGTCGATGGATAAGTCGTTTTGGTTGCCATAATCAAGCAACTGAAAGAATGCTTGGCTTTTCTTTTTGGAAAAGCCCAACTTTTCCATTGCGGTCATGAACTCTCTGTGCGAACATCTCTGATCTCCCTCTCCTTTCAGATGTTTCTCCCAAAGATCCTCCAGAGTGAGCTCGCGACGCTCAAACACGTCACAGAACTCTTGCAGGAGCTTTGCTGCCTGAGGATCTATATCTCCTAGTCCTATCCAGTGACTGTGGAACGACCTGTGCATTGTCAGCTCTTGCCAAAGGTGTCGGTAATTCCCTAAAAATCCCATCTGGCGTCCGCCACGCACAAGATCAGTAAACTTGATACGTCCAGCCCGCTTCTTGTCCAACACAAGCCGCCATGCAGCGGCAATGGAGCCACAAACAGTCTCTGCCGTCCTTCGGAAGCCTCGCACGGTTTCGCGTTCCTCTCGAAAGACCTGCTTTCTCATTTTGACTGACAGCAGCGGTGCACGGTACAGCTTGCTCGGAGCGTTAGCCGAAGTTCGCAGGGGCACCGGAGAGAGCCGTGACTTGGGCTCTGCATGCGGTTCCAGGCAGGCCCGTGTACCGCAGGAAAACAAGGTCTCATCCCACTGAGGTGTCCATGGCCTGATGTGTTCCAGGGGCAGAATCTGAGGAGACTCCGCCACGTCTTTGCTGCCATCGCCATCTTCGGAATGCTTACTCCAGGCTTGCCGACGCAAGAATCGCACTTTGCAGTGTGACTGGGTGAGATCAACGGCGTAGCCACGCCGTCCGTTGCAAATGTCGACGACGTCGCCGCCCTTCTGAGGCCTTTGCTCCTGACTTGTGGCTGGTCGCGGCCGCTCGCGCGCATCTGCATCCCGTTCCCCGCCGCCAAACTTAGGCGAGCAGGGCCCGGACTCCATCGAGGGGCCTTCACTCTCAAAGTCTACCAGTAGAAGGGAGGCTTGTTGGGCTTCTCTCATTAGAAAACTATACATCTCTAAACAACCACGACAGATATTGCAGGTGCACAATTTCTTGTAGATGGATGGGTCATGCTGAAGATGCTCACAGATCCACATCCTTCCTTAAGACACCGATGCGCGAACGGCCTCGAACCAGCGAAGAATCGGCGGGAGAGCTCAGCTACTCAGCTAATCTCAGCTACTCTTGCTGGATTGCATGCTCAAGCCGTGTCGGCCAGAACTTTTCCGCCCTCAAAGCAACGCAGCCTCGTCATGCCTCAAGTCAGAAGGCAGCTCAGCCACAACAAGCAAAAAGTCTGCAGAGTAGGAAGGTGTAGGGCCAGGGCTTCCTCGGCGCTCAGGTAGTGAAAGTCGCTCTTTGCTCCTCGAGCTCGTGCACGAGGCCACCAGCAGCCGCGCCGACGTCCTCTGAGAGATAGCTTTACATTCCTTCACTCAAGCACGCCAGACATCGGCATCTCAGATCCTCGAAGCCATTTAGAGCATCGACGCAGGGCAAAAGGAAGTGCCTTGCTGGCGATCCCGCTTTGACCATCTTTGCATCTCTTACTGTATGAGTCTGAGGACACTACAGCAACAGGGCCAGCGGGGCCAAGGTCAAACCGACCTTCACAGGCAGCAGCTCACAGCATCCTGGAAGGACGAAGCAGCCGCCCGGTCTCCTCCATCACATCATCACCGTTCGAGATGGTCAGCACGGCCGCCACGGTATACCTCATCGGTTCTCAGCATCACTTTGCCTGCACCTCCACCTTCGCAGCTGTATGACGACATCGGGATTGGATTGGGAGCAATTATGCTTGTTGTCTGGAGCTTCTCAAACGGAAGAAAGCGGTCCGAACTGTGAGAACCACCGCATCGCCACATAGTGCCGTCCAGCTGCACAGCGCTGAGACAGAGGGACAGCTGCACCATTAAGGACCTCGGGCTTGCATCCGCCCAGCTTCAAAACAATGCACTGCCAAAGTTGCTCTGAGGACCGGACGCCGAGGGCGCTCCGGTCGCCACATGTTGACGAGCGTAAGCTTGCAGGGCCTTCTCCTCGCGGGAGACACAAAACAACCCAGGCCCCTGCAGAAGCGATTTCCCCTTCCTCCACCTCCAGCACGAAAGGCTCCTACGCGAAGCTAACGACAAGCTGGGCTTTGCATTTTACATCTAGACCTGGAAAAGTAGTGACGCAGCAGGTTTAGCGTCCTTCGCCATGAGTCGTGCTGCCATTCCAGGAGTGAAGCAATCGTGCAGCAGCTTGCAAACAGAATATTTGCAGGCGCACTGCTTCCTGTGAAACTCCGCGCGCTGTCGGAAACTTCTCAGGAGACACCAACACGCCGTCACGTAAGCGGGTAAGGCCAAGAGCAGTCCAAATATTGGTTGGGGCAGCCGGACATGCACCAAGCATAGCAATCCGAGCGTGCTGCAAAGCATTGCAAACAGAACCCAGACCTGATGTGAAAGGCCAATGTCAACCACTTTCATGTCCCTCGTCACCACATTGAGGGCTGACGCATTGGTGGCTTTTGTCACTCGCTTGAGCCACTGCTGATGAAACGCTTCACCCGCAGCTGCACAACATGAGGCAGCAGCTCGCGCCAAGACGACTTTCAACATCAGGTTGACCCAGCAAGTTGCAAATTGCCAATTAAAAGAAAGGAAGCTTCTGTTCTGACTGACTTGGAGAGCGGCGACGAGCAGGACCCAGTCCAGTCCAGTCTGCAGAATTTGGTCCACCAGGAGTAGCAAATAAACGCATGCGACTCGTCCTCTTCCCGCCAGTCTCAGGAAGGCCAGCGCCCCAAAGACGCCCGCCGCCGGAACCATGCGCTTCTCAGAGTCCCCCTGGTCCGAGTCCCGGCCCTCCTTCTCCGATCTCTGCTCCAGCTTGCCGCCTTTTAGAGGGCGCTCTAAGCGGGCGCAAGAAGGCGTAGGACTCGGAGCCCAGCCGCACGCCACTTTTGCAGACAAGTCCAGGGCTCTCCCCGCAGCCTGCAAGTGCAGGAGGCTCTAAAGACGGGCGCTACGAGACCACTGTCCTACTCAAGATGGATTCTGCAGGTGGGCGCTGGCCAGCTCTACATTCGTAGATGTGGGCGTGAGATGGGGGCTGTGTAGCCCTCTAGTTCCGAACTGGAACTCACAGTCGGGTTGTAGAAAATGATTGATGTCGGCTGAAATGGTCTATCAGTCGTGGCTGAAATCCTCGGGGGGCGGATATGGACTCCCCCGAAAGCCAGGATAAAGCAGCAGGGATCCTACAAGGATCTATTGTGGCCGAAGTAGGCTCCGCACTGCCACGGCGCCACCCTCCAAGATGATGGCGGAAAAGCCTGCCGGGGGAAGCTCTCCCACTCAAACGGCCTCACGAAGGCTTAAAGTGCCGTCAGGCTTTGCGGCGCTCCAGCCTTCAGAAAGCTGAGCCGTGTTGCTGCTGAAGGCCACGATGCAGCATCGCCCGGCAAAGAGCGGACCCTGCAGAACCTGTCGAGTGCCAGCTCTCGAGATCAATTGTATAAGTCCCGAACAAGTCACGTCACCTCGCGGATGATGCTCTCTGCATCTGCAGCCGCCATTCCATTGAAAGGATCGTCCATGAGAACCAGCTCCTCCCAATCGTTCAAGCGACTGCAGAGACCTGCGCTTCAGCCCCGGCGCCTCTCGACCGTAAGCAGCACGGGCCAGAGCAACTTTGGCTGTGTCTGAAGAGTCCAGATCGTTGTCTGCATGCTGTGAGATGTTGCACGAAAGGCACACAGAGAGGTTGCACAAACAGCACGAGCCTTGACAAAGCGCTTCAAGACCCATCGCCTGCAAAGGCGACCCAATGTGTGCACATCCTTCCCGAGCAGCTCCCTTCTCTGCTCTGTTCCCAGGTTACACACCCCTGCCCTCATGCGTCTCTGTGGGGTAATGGTAGCTGGGGGACACCACCGCAGTCCCAAATCATTTAACCAGCACCATGGGCTCGCGGCTCCTGCATGTCTGTAGTCTGCAGCAGGATTGTTCAATGTGCAAGAGGAGGGACGGGCGGCAGGGTCGGCACGTTTTCACGCGTGACGAATCCCTGAGCCATCCAATCCGTTGACATACATGTTGCCAAGAAGCACGAAGCGTGGATCTTGCCGCAAGTGCGTTGGGGACAGTTCGGGCCCAAAGCAGACGTTGCGACGCTGGTGACATCCTAACGTGAGTTTCGGTCTCGGGGTGACGGCGTTCCCGCAAGCAGCAGTCGAGACCGCGGTACGAGTGAGCTCCAAAAGGGGGAGGGGCCAAAGCACCGCATCGTGAACACCATCCCTGCCTTGACAATCGTCTGGTAGCGGTCCAGCTCTAAGCATCTGCCACACAGAATGTTGTCTTGCCTGACGAAGCGGAAGCTGGTAAGGCGAACACTTCGTAAATTATGTCGACTTTCTTAAGCAATCTCAACGTGCAAAGTAGGCTCGGGACAATGATCCTGGAAAAATCCAAGGCTTCGAAGGGAGTAGCAGAGCGGAGGGTGTCCTGCACAGATCAAAACACACACAGATTCTGCGGCTGTCAAACGCGGCTCCACGCCTGCAGACGCAGGCATCTGTCAGCGGGCGAAGTGCTCCAGCAGCTGCGTACAACAAAGACGTCTTTCCTGCCTCCCATGAGCAAAGCAGGAGCGCGTCTCTGCCTTTCAGGCTGAGTGGGAGCCCACTGAGTGCAGGGACCCCCGAGGTGCCCAAGACAGCCAGGAGCGAAGCAGCGGGCACCTGCAGCGCGGCCGCGTGAGTCCCGACGGCACGGCACTTCAAGACGGGAGCGGGGTGCCCGGGTGCCTTCAAGTCCAAGTCGACCAAGACTGGCCTTATCACGCTCGAACCGTGTCTCAGTGCCCGATGTGTCAGCAGCGTGTTTTTTCTATGCGCCGGCTGCCATCAAGCTGCAATGACTCGATCTCGCTGTCTTCCCACGCGAAACCTCGGGGCCACAGGCAGGGAAGGCGCCACGCCTGGACTTTGGGGACAGCGTTCGCCCCGATCGTTGCACTCAGCTGACGGCTCCCAGTGAGATGCAAGCACAGCCCGAGCCCGGGGTCCTCTCCGATGTGACATCATGGTGACATCTTTGCATGTTTGCGGAAGCACCGGTTGCAGGTCCTGGGGCCTCGCTTCCGAGTCCAGCTCGGGGCGGCAGAGGAAGGCCTCGAAAGGAGCCGTGTCTGAGCAGGTCAGGCGGACGCGGCGCACGGCACGGCGCGGCCCGGCCTCCACTCGAGCCAAGGCAGGCTTGGCAGTGCCGAGCTTCGTAATGGAACTGCTGCATACTGACCTTCAAGCTGCATCTTCTTCCGTTCCTAGAGAGCCCTCTAGGCCTCCTGTCGCAAGGAACCAGAACTGCCACTGGCCGACTGTAAGAAGCTGAGATCCCTGCAGCTGTCGCAGCAAACAGTGCACTTGTAGAAACAGAGGAAGCAGGACCTGGCCACAGAGTCAACGCACCGAAGCCCTGAGGACCCAGGACCCAAGCTTCCCATCGGACCTCTGGCTGTCCAGGGGCCAGGATTGAAATCGTCACGATGCACCCGAGGGCCTCTGGGTTTCAGCAAGCATGGTCTCACTTGCCCCAGACCAAATCGAGTAGCTGGGATCCCTGCAACCAGTTGTGGCCAGCGCGCTGCCAACAAAGCTACCTGGTAGCCTTCATGCGGCCAGCAGTTGATCCGCGAGCAGCAGAATCAGAAAGCACAAGAGCAAAGAACCCCGCTCACATTGTGCATCACCCACAAGAAGTCCAACTCCTGATGGGACCAAGCTCAGGATCATCCGCCGGGAAAGCATTCAGCTCCCATGCATCCCGTGCCTCACGCCGAAGACGCTGTGCACGCTCCAAGAAATTCTGGCACGAACAACGATCATGAGTCACGTTGAAAGGCTTCGCTCGGGGCTGAGGAAGCACTCCTGAGTCGGCAG